TTGAACTCAGTCTTCTGAGTGAGAAGTCTTCTTACAAAGGCCCTTTGGAGCTTGTAGCAGGTTTCTGTTGGTATCTGACATCTTGAACTATCTCCCAGCTGACAGTTTGATCCTGTTTCCTTATTGAAGCAAAGCTCTTTCTTTGTTTTAGGGTATATTGTGGAGAGGAACTCTTGGCAGAGCTGGGTGCAGATGCCCCAGCTGCACAGGAGGCTTTAGAGCCAAGCTGGCTTTCCTGGGCTCCTCCTTCCACAACAGCAGCTTAACTTCTTCCCTGTGGTTTGAGGAAGATTTGGAAATAGTTTCTAAAGTATTGCATTTATGCCACCACCTTTGATTTCCTTGATTTTTGAGGCACACAAAAGTTTCAGGGGATTATTTAACAAATAGTGTTGTACATTTATGGGGTTTTTCTGCCTTAGAAATACTAGGACTATTGGACTTGAACCTCTCTGCTTTTACTAAGGAGATCTTGGCAGTTCCTTGGCAGGAACTTGAGGTTTTACCAGTTATTATTCTGTGAGAAAGAAGCTCACTGCATCAATTTTAGCCAGGGACAAAGTCTATGGAGCAGAGAATATTCTATTTACAGCGCTGGAGCTTCACAGGGGATTTCTCCTCTGTGGCTCAGCTCTGGCTTTCCAAAAGGCTCCTTTTTATCTCTCGTATTGTTACATATCCATAGTTTTTCCAAGGATAGGCGGTGTGTATTACAACTACTTCCAGGAACTCATTATCCTAAGTTTCTTCCCTTCGGTGCCTGCGTGTTGCTTTCTGGTGGTTCTGGGCTGGGGTCTCTGGGATGAAGTAAGAAGTCTTCCTCACGATGCTCTCGTCACCTTTGGCACAGTTAGTTGCTTCTGCAACTGCAAGACCAGCTGAAACTGGCCCATCAGTTGCTTTAGCAAGGGTTACACTTACCTTACACTCAGGATAAGCTAGACTGGATTACCAGAAACTGCTTCCCAAAGCTAGGCTGCTGCTTTGCTTACATATCCACATAAAACACTGTAACCTAATGCATCTGATATTGCCAAACTTACGAACATTAAACAAATACTTGTGGTAGCTGAAGCAAAATTTCCCCGTTCAGTTATTTATTACAATTCTCTCTACATATTTCATTGTCTTAATAGTTTAATAGTCAAACCAGAAATAAACTAATTTTGAAGAAGCCACCTTTAGAACTCACTCCTATTTTGCAACTTTTCATCTTCCTGATACCAAAATATTGTGATAATAATATTTCCTCATCTGCCTATGAGGAAAAAAATGCTTTTTGGGCTCCAGATCTGTTCACTGACCTCATCCAAAGAAATTAAATGTGAGTTTTGGCAATCGTGGGCAAGTGGTTTTGGTTTTGTGCCTGTACGTGCCAAAAAACACTCGTTTGTGGTTGTCACCCATTACATGAAGGATGAACCGTGGTCCCCCTCTGCTGGTGGTGCACTGGGTGGGGATGTGCTCACTCTGAGTTACTCTGAGGCTGAAATTCAGGCTTTAAAGAAGGTGGCAGGTTGGTGTGTGTGTGTTGGTCAGGATTTTAAATGACCAGAGAAACCCTGTGCTTTGGGGGGTACTCAAGGGGCTGTAATGCATCAGGTTTCGAGGTGTGGAGTTACCAAGTGGTATCTTGAGAAGACCCATCCTGCCTTCCCCTGAGTGAGGCCAGAGGAGGCCCCGGAGCTGCTGTGAGGGCTGGAGCAGCTCTGCTCTGGAGCCAGGCTGAGAGAGCTGGGCTGGGGCAGCTGGAGAAGAGAAGGCTCCTCAAGGGGACACCTTAGAGCAGCTCCAGGGCCTAAAGGGGCTCCAGGAGACCTGGAGAGGGGCTTTGGACAAGGGATGTAGGGACAGGCCAAGGGGAATGGCTTGAACCTGCCAGAGGGGAGATTGAGATGAGCTCTTGGTCAGAAGCTCTTCCCTGTGAGGGTGCTGAGGCGCTGGCACAGGGTGCCCAGAGAAGCTGTGGCTGCCCCATCCCTGGCAGTGTTCAAGGCCAGGTTGGACACAGGGGCTTGGAGCAACCTGCTCTAGTGGAAGGTGTCCCTGCCCGTGGCAGGGATTGGGACTGGGGCAGCTTTAAGCTCCCTTCCAACACAAACCAGTCTGGGATTCTATGATATTTTGCACTATGCATCACAAAAGACTGTTTCCACTATTAGAAACAGAAATCAGGTGAAGAGAAAATACTCTCTGAACAAGGTAAATGCTGTCCTGTCAGTCAGACTATTCCCAGCAGAAACTGAGTGCATCCCTTTCATCCTGCATTGTGTCCCCTGGAGTAGTGCTGCTTGAGGAGGAGGAGGATGGGTTAATGTTGGGAAGTGCTGCAGTAACGAGCAGGGGAAAGTGGAGCTTGTGGTGCAGGAAGAGACCAGTGGAACATGGCACAAGCCAAGCAAAATGCAGCCTACGAAAGGATACAGCTGAATCTGTAAGTTCATCAGGGAAACGCTCACAAGGAAGGGAGATAATGTGCAGGATACACACAAGAAACAATGGTCTCCTGAGGCTTTAAGCCCTTTTGAGTGTCAAAGGGTAAAAATCCCCTTCAGATTTCTGAGACGAAGCATGATGTGTAATGGGATGCCTGAGATATCAAGAGCTCGAATGGAATGGCCACGGGGAGCTCTGAGTCACGCTGCTGAGCCAGCAGGCATC